CACAATAACCTGCAAAACTGAAGCTTTTATAATAGATAAACAATAGCTGTCATAAGGTCATCAGTTTGTTATAAAATTAAGGCTTTGTTAAAAAAAAAAAAAAAAATTGGTAAGCAATATTTTCTTATTAATAATGGTACCAAGGGCTACTCTAGTGCCAAATTCCCCACAGTCATAATGCAAAATTACGGGCCAATTAAAAACTACTGCAGGCGGAAGACTGTTCCCACTCGGGGCGGATAACTTGCTTCATTAAAATATCACAATCAAGGACTCGTGCTTCGGAAATGAGGTCAAATTTCAATGATCTTTCATGTCGGTTAAATAAAAAAAACAGCAATTTAAAATCAGCAACATCACATAATATGATGTCATCAGCTGTGAATCTAGCATTGAATCTAAATGGTAAATCGATATTGTAAAAGCCCTGCTTGATGAGTCAAAAAGGAGTTTAACTATTGAAAGCAAACTGTAGAAGATGTTTTGCATTAAAAGACAAAAACATGGAGACAATTGCTGTTGGTCACTCTCACAACTCATCAGAATAATATTCGGACACACGGCAGCTGTTTTGAGGACTTGCTGTACACTAGTGCACAGCATCATGCTGCAGGAAGATAAAGCTAACAAGTGTCCGCTTAATAAAACAAGACTTGAAAGCCTGACAGGTATTTCTCTTAGAAGCTGGTGGAGGCTAAATGATAACTAAAAGGATAGTAAACATTTGCCAGAAAACTACAACTCTTAATGAAATATTAATGTTGTTCCATATGCACTGGATTCGTGGAAAAACACTTGCTTGCACAATTAGTATAAGTGCTTCAAGAAAATAGGGAGTTATTTCTGTGATTTTACAGATTTTACAGTGTCTCCTAAAAAGGAAAAATAAATTAATCTTTAATGTCATCAAAGAATGTTATGGAAATTGTAAATAATTGGTCGAAATGTAAACAGTCTAGTGTAAAATGGGCAATAACGGTCTACAAAGAGTTCACCAAATCCATCTGCAATAGTAGCCAGCACCAGACCATCCACCATGGGGCCTTTCTTGGGTCCAGTGTTCACAGCTGGTGCTTTTTGCTTCCATGTTTCTGAACTTTTTTTTTTTAGGCCGTTAGGGGGCAATTGGTTAAGGCTTTTTTTTATATCATATACATATGAATCCCTGAATCTCTTGGGCATGCAGTTGCCTTCAGTTTCTTAAACCGGGTCCACGCAGGGGGTGATTCACAATGATGTGGTGACCAGAGACTATAGAAATTCAGTGATATTTGGTGACTTCAAATGATCACAGCTGAAATTATGCTAAATTGGGAGCTAAATTATGATGCAAGCAGTTGATGCACAGGAATAACATTAGTTTACACTCTTTACAAACATGACTGCTCTCTGCCTT